ATGCAACCTAATGTGTTGAAGGCAATGGTTTATAGATGACTCCCCTTGGCATTAGAGCAGTGTAGATCTGTTTTCTGGAGTGCCAAATCAGCCTACCTTGTAATCCAATGGATTAGTTTAGATTTGTTGGTTTCCAGGAAAACAATATTTCTTTTATTTCATCTCGGATGGCGGAAGCTTTGGTGGAGAGATGACGCAGGGTTTTAAACAGTTTTTAAGGTGTTGGGCTTGGCCTTGCTGCTTCAGGGAAAGGACCTGATGATAATTTAGCACATCAGAAGAGACATATGCTCCTTTTCTGATCCAGTTTGTTTTGCTCTGGTCCCCCTCACTCTGCTTTATTGTGTTTCATCTGACTCACTGAATTATTGCTTGAATGAAGCTACCTGCAGAGACATTTGCTTTGTATGGGCATTGCAGTTTGGTTTTGTGTTTTTCTGGAGAAATATATGTGCGTCTGAACAGCTGATTTAGGCTAGCATGTTCTTTTCTTCTTCTTTCAGCCCACAGCCATGCCACTCTTTAAGAAACCATACAGATGTTAAAGGAATAGTACACCCAAAACATGATTAGCCTTCATTTTCTACTCACCCCCATGCTGAACAACACCCTGGAGTACTTTTTTGATATCTCAAATGCATCTGGAGATCTGGGAGGCTTCTTGCTGTCTGCTGACATTCAAATAATGGAGGTCTATGGTGCCCAAGGCAGAAAGGTCCATAAAAGTCCACAAAAAACGTGTCAATATTTCTCCATACTGCTCGTCCAATGTATTCCAAGTGTCCTGAGTGGGTAGCGTCCATAATTTACTCGAAACAAAGTCATTTAGAATGTTTTTAGAGCATAAACAGTAGTGTATAGGATTTCCTAAAAGCGCGTTCACGAGCCTACGGAAACCGCGGCAGACCAAACCAGACGAAAGTGCGCATTCAGCTCGGCAAAGAACTCATGCTCTTCCTCAACACTGAAGTCCTCAGACATTTTTCTTTCGTTGTTTCTTTCTTTGCACAGGTAAACAGCACATGTCTTCTTCTACGCTTGCATTATCGGCAGAGCAGACACTGAATGCGCACTTTCGTCTGGTTTGGTCTGCCGCGGTTTCCGTAGACTCGTGAACGCGCTTTTAGGAAATCCTATACACTACTGTTTATGGTCTAAAAACATTCTAAATGACTTCGTTTCGAGTAAATTATGGACGCTACCCACTCAGGACACTTGGATTACATTGGACGAGCAGTATGGAGGAATATTGACACGTTTTTTGTGGACTTTTATGGACCTTTCTGCCTCGGGCACCATAGACCTCTATTATTTGAATGTCAGCAGACAGCAAGAAGCCTCCCAGATCTCCAGATGCATTTGAGATATCAAAAAAGTACTCCAGAGTGTTGTTCAGCATGGGGGTGAGTAGAAAATGAAGGCTAATCATGTTTTGGGTGTAGTATTCCTTTAAGAATCGTCGCACTTGTCTTTTAATTTAACCCACTCCATCTATTGTGATTATTTTTGTAGTCACTCTTGAGTTTTTGTTTTTACTTTTTTTTTCCCATAATGCTGGCTTATAAAATCCATTATTGTACGACGGAGTATTAGGGCCACACATGAGGAGAAAAAACATTTTTGTCATGACGAGATTAAACTCGACATGTCAACTTTAAAGTCGACATGTCGACTTTAAACTCGCCATTTCGAGAATAAAGTTGAAATGTCTTGTTGAGTTTAATCTCGACGTGTCGACAATAAAGTAGAAATTGGTTCAAGAGAGCCAACCGCTGCACAGGTTACATGCACAGATTCCAGAATCAGACGTGCCTTGTGTAGATGATTTGGTCAAATTGTACTTTCTGTGATGATTATACAGTTATACAGTTGCAGCACGTCAAAGACTACCTTCACTCTTAAAACGCAGACTGCAGCTGTGGAGCGCGGTTGCTCTTTTCTCCAAACTTTGGAATGTCGAGATTAAAGTCGCCACGATATATCAACTTTATTCTCGAAATGGCGAGTTTAAAGTCGACACGTCGAGATTAAACTCAACAAGACATTTCAACTTTATTCTCGAAATGGCGAGTTTAAAGTCGACACGTCGAGATTAAACTCAACAAGACATTTCAACTTTATTCTCGAAATGGCGAGTTTAAAGTCGACACGTCGAGATTAAACTCAACAAGACATTTCAACTTTATTCTCGAAATGGCGAGTTTAAAGTCGACACGTCGAGATTAAACTCAACAAGACATTTCAACTTTATTCTCGAAATGACGAGTTTAAAGTCGACACGTCGAGATTAAACTCAACAAGACATTTCAACTTTATTCTCGAAATGGCGAGTTTAAAGTCGACATGTCGACTTTAAAGTTGACATGTCGAGTTTAATCTCGTCATGGCAAAAATATTTTTTCTCTTCATGTGTGGCCCTAATACTCCGTCGTAATTATTGTCATACACCTCAATATGGATTTTTTTTTTTTTTTTGCCTTAAAGCTGGTGCAAACAAATGGGTTATCACTCCCATTGCCAATTAGTGAACAGCTGCTGTTCACGTCACATTGTTTCCTTGTTCGGCTCTGATCTGGAGCAGCTACAAAAAAAAACCTTGCTAGAAAAAACAAGGACGGAACGGTTCACACAACTAGCTAACTGAGATGGAGCCTTAAAAGAGCCTCTGGAAAAAGAGCAATATATAAGAGAAATTTTGCGTGGGGAACATAGTCAGCAGAGTGCCCTGACTTTAACCCGTAGAAGGCCTTTGGGATGACCTAGAGCAAAGACTGCATGCAAGGCTTCTCTTCTCTAATATTGATTTCTGGCCTCGTAAGCAATGGTCAAATATGACTGTAAACACATTTCTAATCCTTTAAGAAACCCTAACTTAAATAGTTAAAGCGGTTGTAGCTGAAATCATTGAGTCAAGGCAGTATTAAATAATATATTTTATTAACGTTAATGTAAGAGTAAAGGCAAGTGATCTGGTAAGGAAAAAAGGTCTTCACAACCCAGTTTTACCAGATCATTAAAATAATAAGCATGGCCGATTCTACAGTTCAAGTCATGCATTTCAAGGCTGTGTTTTTGTTCGTTTATTTTTTTTTTTTTACCAAAGAAGTACTGTACAATTGTTGTAAACAGAAAGTCCTGGACAGTATACCAACTACGGGTATGAGGAGATTAATTTAGTCAGGAGGCCTGCAACTATTTGAAAATGCTTTGATTTGGATCCTGATCCCATACTTGCCATGATTTAGTCTGTGTAAGCCAATTTTTTCTGAATTTGCTTGAGGTTTTCAAAATGAACAGCTCAATAAAAAAAAACAAAATGAATAGAATCATGTTTAACGAGAAGAATAAAAACCTTCAGGCTTTGACTTTAATTAAAATAAAATGCTGTATAAGGTTCTAGACATGCTTAAGACTGCAGACATACACAAAAAAACCATAAACTGAGATTGACCTAAAAAAACAGACATTGAACTAGATAATAGATTACAAATGCATCTGTTGGAAATTACCATATAGACAATGTGAATTAAAGAGATGCCATCTGGCGTAGCAGCAGTGTACAGAAGTACAGTGAAAGCTAAATTTTATGGTCATTGTTAGACAGGTATAAATCCAGGAACTTTCTTACACACTGTAGCCTATCGCTCTGTGCTAATCAATTGGCAATGCTGCATGAAAGTGAGTGTATTTTTGGTCGCCTAGTAGATGGTCTATTGTCAGCAAGTCTTACACTGGGGGGACAGCGTTTTGTGTCAGCCAGATCAGCTGGGGCTCAAATAGCAAGGTCGACTGCCCCTCCCATGCTACCCCGGCACACACACTTTAATACACATAACCCCTCCTCTGCTCACAAACACACACTTGCACACACATATTCATTGTGCACAACCCTCTTTTGTCCAGACAAAGACAAACCTGGAGCCAGTCAGATATGAGATTAGATATATGCATGCACATACACACAGACACACTTTTCCCAGCTAAGCAGGGTCTTAAATCAAACAATTCCCCAAAAATCTGATAGGTCAGACTATCAGGATCACCTGCTAAAATTTTAATTGCTTGAAAAACATAAAAATATATTGCATCAAATAGATGTGAAAATGGTTACTTTGGAAAAGCAAGCGGGTGATAGTGTAATTGTTCCGGCTAAGAGGCTTCAGAGTCTGAATAAAACTGATCCAAGGAGTGCAGTCATCTGAAAGGGGGAATGAAGACTACAGCTGAGATTAAAGCAGATCGGCAGAGATGCTAGAAAGTGCTGGATAAGTGGGTCAAAAGATTCTGCAAACAATTTAAGGTTTCAGATTGTCTGATGTAAAATGATGTAAATGTTTGTGCTGTTATCTATAGGCAGTTTAAAAGAGCATTGTAATATATAGTCTAAATACAAAAAAAGTGTCTGATAAATGATCCTAATTGTAACACAAAAGGGTGAAAGGTGGAGGTTTCATTTTTTTTTTAGGTCCAGTGGTTTTGTTTTCTGCTTTTTATTGCAGTCATTGTGCAATTTGTCAGAATACATTATTAACACTCTACTGCTTCTGTGAAACTGTGTTGAACATGTGTGAACATGAAAATTATCTCAAAACCAGGAGTTCTAACAGCTTGTGGTCATAAATTCAGAATGGTGGCCCTCTAATTTTCAGGAGCAGTCATTTACTTAACACGCAAATACGATTCTGGGCAGTTGGGGGGGATGCATCAAATACCACAGAAGAGTTTGCACAAAGAGGGCACACTTCATCAGACAAAGAGCTAAAAGATAGAGGGCAAGCGCCTTTTTTCCTCTTGCAGATGAACTGTTTTTTGAGAGTGGGTGCAGGGCGGCCAGTGGGATGGATGGGTAGAAGGAGGGACTAACAGGAGGAGGGAGAGAGGGAAGGATGAATGGTTATTACACAGTTAGTCGATGCAAAAAAAGAGGAGGGGTATGCAGAGAGAAAAGGGGGTCGCACCGAAGGTGTAAAAGATCTTTTGTGAAAGCTGGGACTTAATCACTTGAGCGGCACACGCCAGTTCTATGGGAGCACATGTTATACACCAGCTCCCCTGGGAGGAGTGGGAGGTCTCTCTCACACACACTCACTTTTGGTGCACACAGATACACAACTGAATTTCCATATCAGTTATGATGCAAAACTTGGCACAAGCTTACTAGACAAGCAGGAAGACCCACCCCCTTTTAACAGGACGGTTAGCAAACCCTCCTGGCCGGGGTGAGAGTGTTTGTATTTGCTCCTTGTCCTTTCATGCATACACACACGCGCCTGGCTGTTTGCCTCCTTCAGGACCGGATGGATGACTCTATGGGGGCTCGGCAAGAGATGGGTGCTTAGTTTGGCCTGGCAGTAAGTAAAATCTATTGTTTCATTACACTGCTCCATTGTCAGAGGTGGATGCTGATATCTGAGAGTGATAGTGGGGTCTGTAGATTAAGTAGCAGACAGACAGCTCAGTAAAACACAGCCATGTCAGAGACTGCTCACCAGGCTGACAAAGAAAACTGATGGTTTGTTCAGGTCTCAATTTTGAATGACATCCACAGTGACTGAACATACTCTTTCTCTATTCTTCTAGAAAGTCCTGCCATTTTTTATATACAGTCTCACTATTGGTGCTTTGATTCTCCTCATCGTTTCACATTGGGTTTGTCTTTCAATCTTTTTCCTCTCTTATGTTTGAAGTGATAAACATCTTCATCCTCTCTCCTTTGCTTCACCAGAGTTCCCATCTCTGACAATACTCCGTAAAAGTGGACAGTGAAAGTTGGTAATCTATGTGTCAAAGTGTAGAAAAATATGTTCCATGCTTTGTTGTTGGGACTATTATAAAAGACTTAAAGCTTGAGGACCAGGTGGTTCAAGGATCAGAGATCATCCAGTGTGATGCCCTTTGCCACGAGAATTCAACCACAGAGCTGACTTTTCCCCTGTGGGTTAGAAACCCTGATAGTAACATCTGTGATGTGTTTGCTTTTCAAAGTAGGTGGAGACAGTGAGCCAGCATGAATAGTAATGATAGCAATTTGGTAGATAGATGTTCCATTTCCCCCAACAAAAGCTTAGATGTAAATTAAGTTAAAAAAAATCTTTATTCAGTATCTCTATTTCAAAATTTTTAACATATAGTTTTTCCCAGACAGTGATATATTTGGGCGTTTGGTTATTTTTGTATTGATTTTATTCCTTGGAGCTTATTCACATCCAATTTTGCTTTAATGGAAATTTTAGTACATGTGACTGATAAAAAAGGACTGTTAACTTACTGCATGGCCTACATGAACATGGGGAAGACTGCTGACTTGACAGTAGTCCACAGATAGACCAAAAGCAGGGTAAGTCTCAAAAGGTCATTGCTAAAAAAGCTGGCTAAACACAAAGTGCTGTGTCTGTGCTTATTGACAAACACTTGTGTGAAAGAAAAAGAGCAGTATTAAGATAATGTCTGAAGAATGTTATCTAGGCTAATGAGAAAAGGGATTGGACTTGTGCTAAGTGTGTCAAAGCCCCCTTTTCAGACAGAAGGAAATTTGGAATTTTGTCTAATAATAGTTTGGAAAAGGAGTGAAGGTGCACATAATCCAAGTAAATTGAGAGCCTCTTAAAGCTACTGCACTGGTTTAGTGATTCATACAAAAAGGGCCCAACCAATAGAGTTAATTCAGAGCAAGATTTAAGTCAGTAGTGATTTGCTTGGTTGTGTGCTTGTTTTAAGGAAGGTTTTCCAAAATGTTATTTGTCAAATTCTACTGCAGCAGCTCAAATCTAGATACAGAAACCCAGGCACAGTGCCAGTGTAGACTATTTTCAGCCAGTTTGTTTTGCAAATGTGAGCACATCTGCTTCCTCATTAAAGGGCTAGATTGAGCAGCAAATGTTATGAAACTAAAAAACCTGAAGAGAGAAATTGTGCTTGGATCATTCATGAAGAACATCACCTGTTGACAGATCTGGTGCATTATACAGTCATTCTCTTTAACAATGTGTTACCTCCCTTGTTTTTGTTGGGGGGTGGGGGGGTTGTTTGTACTAGTTGATTTTTCACCTGCTCTTAAATCTGCTATCTGAACATTTTCATAGGAAGATGTTTTTGTGTTGTCATTTTGGATTTTTTTTGGGGGCTTTTGAAATAGAGATGTTTTTTGTTGTTGTTGTTTTCCATGGTGGCCTGAATTTATAAAATCCATAACTTGAACTATTTTGCTTCCTTTCAAGTGTTTTTCTTTAAACGATACTCTATACTTTCAGTGTGTTAAGGTCAGGCCTTTTTAGAAGCTTTATTGTGACACCATACTGCTTTATATTTGACACCTTGGCACAATATCAACTGCTCCTAAGCACTACCTCTTAACGAAGTCACACTTACAGCTGTAGAGGGCGCCTTTTCCCTCCAACGGAAAGGAAAAAGTTGCTACATCTACTGATGCATCATGTGCATGGCTGTAGCTCTGTGGCACAGGTTGATATGACATCATTTGCCCGTTTCTTAGAAATAAACATATACAGTCAAATATTTCAAAGAGAACCTTCCCTTTTGGAATTAATGGCGTCTGTGTTTCTTTTCCTGACTAGTGATTTTCTGTCAGTGTGAGGAAGATGCAACAAACTAGCAGAACTTACGTTTGAATGCATGTGTTTCCTCCACCATTAGTTAGTCGTTTCACCCACTGTCAAAATCCAAATGCTATTTAAGGGCTATTTAACGCCCTACCCACTACATGGTTTGGGACAGCCTTTAATGTGGTGACCCTCTGCCTTGAACTGCGCCAACAGAGTGTTGGGATTAGGCCCTTCACTAAACAGACATGTTTTTGTTATAATGACAAAGGAGCTCAATCGTTATCTTTTAGATTTTTTTTTTTTTTTAAGGTTTGGAATGACCTTATGGGCAATTGCATTCATTAGCTGTTGATTTGGTGTTCATTTTGGATCTTTTTTTTTTATTCATCATCACCTTCTAAAGTCGATGGTTTTCAACTACAGTTAAGAGACACTTTTAAGCAAGTTTGAATTGCATCCTCCCTCTGACACACCCCTATTGAATGGCTGAATTACCTCCTCAGCATGTCATTGAGCTCTGTAGAGGCCTGATACTGAGACCAACCATTAAGGACTAGAGCTGGAGCCCCTTGCTCTAAATCATGGTATAAAGTTATCTTTACTGAGAATAATCCTCGATACAGAAAAATCTGATTTAATTGAAACTTAATGAATAACATTTTACCAAATATGACTTGAGTTGCATATATATTTGGGCGTGTAAACACATTTATTAAATGTTGGTCCATAAGAACAGTTAGTGTATGAATTTAAACTAAGCCTCTCAGTTGGTGTTATTTATTATAGATTGAAATTGTAAATTCATTCTTCCTTGTGAAATGATACAATCCTTAAAATGGGGCGACAGTGGGGTCAGATGCAGGCTTTCAACATTGTTGTGTCCTTGGGCGGGACACTTCACCCGCATTGCCTACTGATGGTGGTCAAAGGGACCTGTGGCGATGACAGCAGACTCGCTTCTGTGAGTGAGCCCCAGGGCAGCTGTGGCTACAATGTAGCTTGCCACCATCAGTACATGAGTGTGTGCGTGGGTGACTGTAGCGTAAAGGGCTTTGGTCCAGTCTCCTGACTTGAAAAAAAGTACAGGCCATTTACCATTTCAAATCATTTAATATAAAACTGTTAAGTTTATCTTTTGACCACAAATGCATCCCTGTCGATTAAAACAATCAGAATTCAAATTACACCTAAATTGAATAGATTTACCAATTTAGTGTCTGGTAATGGCAGACATAACTGATAACTTCAACTAGACATAAAAAAATAATTTTTATGAACTCCAGACACACAAAAAAGAATCTCCTCTTTAAGTCTGCAGAACAATAGACTCTGCAGAAGATAACTGATATATAAATAAAATAAAAGGGTGGATAATGTAGATTCAGACCTTTATTCATGGCCTAATTATCGACCTATTAAAACATTTAAAAAGATAAAGATGGCAACATATAAATACAAGGTACAGCACCTGAAGCAGCAATATGAGTAATTCCATTTAAACTTCGAACACCCTTTAAATCTCTTTTATTATCTAAAAGAGTTGTCAGGTCCACTTTTAGATTATAATGAATTTTTGTACAATGTCTTTTATAAGTTACTTTCAGGTAACTTATAAAAGGGTTATTTATAAGCTTTCCCTAAAATGCATCACTTTTAAAAGCCATACTGTACTACAGATGTGTTATTTAGGTACAATATCTGCACAGAAAATCTGTGAAGAAAATCAGCCAAAGTCCAAAGAAAAGCTCCAAAGAAATTATTAAAAACTATGAACCAGTTTAAAATAATAATATACCATAAACATGTTTTGTTTTTTTGTCTCACAGATGAGGCTAACGTCAGAAGTTTCCCAATGGCATGAGACGGGTCCCTCCTTCAATATTTTGTGAGTTTTCCATCAGGACCAGTTCCCGCCTGTGTTTGCAGGACCATGGGTAGCGTCAGCAGCCTTGTTGCTGGAAACAGCCTCAACAGCAAGCATGTCAAGGCTTCTGACTATCCGCTAAAGGAAGGAACAAGCTCCCAAAGGAAGAGTGGAGGGTGCAATCTGGATGGTTTACTGAAGTGTGGCTTTGCTCAAAGCTCCTCATCAGCCACTCATCTCCCTAGAGGACTCTCCCACTCCAGGTCAGGAAGAAGTGAGGACTTCTTTTACATTAAGGTACGATTAAATGAGTGAGTAAGAATCTAATTTTACTGTTTGGTATGCATACAACAGTTTTGGAGTAAAATGTTTTTGTACAACTCAAGGTGAACCATAAGCAGAGGTCAGCGTACCACAGGGAAAGATCGTTGGAGAAGGCTGTGAGTAGAAACAAGGAATCAGACGGACGACAGCAAACCAAACTGCTGTTCATGCCTGGAAAGATTTTAGAAAAGGTGAGTTTATAACCATCCTTCATGTTCAGCTTGTAGTGCCCCCCACTCTGTGCTTTCACCCTGGATTAGATGCTGTACTTCCTATTTTCCTTGTTTATAATACAATAAACAGCTGACCATTGAAATTTTGAGAAAACTATTTCTTCAAATGCTATTTGCAATAATATTATCTGCCAGCTAAATACATTTATATTAAAGGACCACAAGTACGTCTGGCTAGCGGAGAGAACCTATAGGTGGAGGCAACACTAAGGCCAATGACATTAGATGAACCCTACACTGAGAATGTGGATGTAACAGATACCTAGAGAAACATCTGAGATGTCAGTCCAGAGAGGTTCACTCCTAAGAACAACAGATAGACTGCAAAGGACTCTCAAGCTCTCAGGTATATTATCCAAGCTTGAGGCGAAAGCCCCTCACCACACCCAGGGGACGGGGAGTGGGAGGGAAAAGAGGTTTCATAAGTATACGTGTGTCTCTATGTGAGTGTGTATATAGGTCACTATCTGAACATTATCATCTCAGTCTTAACCCTCGTTTTTATTTCCCACTTCCTACAATAGTGCTTCCTGTCAAATTTACTTGCTTTAAATGCTCTCAAATTTCAGCAAAAAATCTTTAAACACACCACAAATGTAAGCTTAAGCAATCTAAATTATAGCTAGGAATAGACAATGCTTTTTGAAATTATTTTTTGGGAAGGATTTTTTGGCCCTTCCAGTAACAAGGTTCCCCATGTAAACCTGCATAGTCTAGACATAGCTGATCCCTTCTTCACATACCTCCCAAGTCATTATTTCATACTTCCCTGGTTTGCTAGGAAGGTGAACCTTGACGTAACAGGAATATCGGAAAGCAGGCCTAGTTTGTACATCAGTGGCAGGAGTCCCACCCACTTGATCCACACATCCCTAAAGGAAGCTAAATGTTACTTTAAAATCTCTAAATAAAAAAAATAAAAAATAAATTCTAAAAACTTCTGTAAAGAAATATTTGCCTGTAAAAATTACTGCCTGCACCCCAAATACTTTCTATGGCCTCCTTCTTTGATTGATAGAGGTACACCTGCAAAATCAACCAGTTCCCATTCTCTCTAGGTGTCAGTGAATACAGGCTTCCCCTCTAGGTTTGTCATCTCCAGTTTTACCTGTGATTGACTTAGATAAAAATATATAAATAAATAAATTAAAAGAAGCTGGAACCTTGACTTGATCTCATCCACCAGATATGTTGAATTGCATGTTGTTTCTGAATGATCTGTAAATTTTCCACTCTTGAACTACTTTCTGTGTCCTTTGGGGCTGAGATCCAGTCTCCACTTTGGACTGTCTTCTTTAGGGTTGTCAGTCATCTCAAAATCAGACAAATTAGGAGTTGTTTTCTGCTTCAGTCATCCTCTTCTATATCTGACCATGTGGTCAGTCAGTTACTGTACTAGTGCTGCACACAAAAGAAATGTATATATTCGGGGTCTGTTTGAAGATATGAAGCAATGTTACATCAGGAATGTGGTTAAACTGAGAACACATTGTTTTGTTGTGTGTGTTTGAGTGTGTGTTAGTGGGGCTCCCTTTCTCATCTGATGGATGAATAACCTGGACTCCCATTCTTTTTATATGGCTGTCAGTTTTGATGGGAAACCTACAAGGTTGAGTTAAACACCCAGAATTCATTAAAAGGGTGTGATTACTTTTAATTGTTTAATTGTTCCCTGTTGACCACATCTTTAAATCTATTCATGCTGAGGTATTTCTGTCAGATTAAGGCCAGGGATTAATGCAGATCACTTTAGTGTGACAATATGCTGTTCCAAATATACAGTAAATATGGTTACTGCCAAACCTAGACTCATCGATTCGATTACCAAAAGCATGATTTGGTCCTACGTTTGTAGAACATGTCCAGAGGCTGCATGCTTTATAACTATGCATCCAATGCAGTTCATGGAAGACATGCCAATCTGAACATCAGATGAAGTTACTGTAGGATATTGGACAGTTACTGACTGCTGCACTCTGTGCAGCTCAGCATGCAGTGTCCCTCTCTCTGAGGTTTCACTCTGAATTAGGTGTTGTTCTTACTATTTTCTTTTATTTCAATACAAAACACAGCTGACCATTGAGCATTAGAGAGAAAATTTTATTGAAACATTTATTCACAGATGACAACCCAAGTTAACTGCGCTCAAGTTAACTGTATTATTAACAGTGAACGTTTTCTTTCAGAAAAGTAATTTGAGAGGAATGCTTGCTCGGGTTTGGATTTAATACACCAGGGGAAATAATGGTGGTTGTAATATTTCAACGATTTAAAAGAATGCATTTATTATTTTGCCAATTTAGTGAACAATGGCTCTGTATCCAAGAGATTGATGTGCTTTAGTGTAAAATGTAAGTATCACCCATTAGAAAAAACAAACAAAAACCGTATCATATCTAAGTGTTTTGCTGCAAGAAAAAAGTTACACGAAATAAATAGCAACATCTAAAAAGAGCAGACAGGTAGTCAAAGTTTGGACAAGTGGTTTTATCAGAACAAAATCGTAGTTTAGGGCTGGCCATTACAAGCCCTAACTTTGATTATGTTTAAGAAAATATGTGATCTGAACCAAACCGCCCTACAAACTACCGTAGTTACACCATTTCTTTTAGGAGGAATACTGTAGGTCAATATTAAAGGAAATACTGTAAAATACCTTTGGATTCCTACCAACAACATCTGTGCAATATGTACAGTTTAAAAAGCAATCTATAAAATTCCAAAGAGGGGTGTGCAAAGTCCTGAATTTAAAGAAAGTGAAAGAAACTAAGAAGTTTTGTCTAAATAATATCTTTACAGACAGGACATAAAAAATATTCTTTCAGTTGTAGTTTAAATGAGAATAAAATATGCTAAAACCTAAGGGTCTATTAATTATGTGCTTCTGGCTTGTTTTTCTCTCTGTTGTGTTGGCAAAAAGTTCACAGGTTTAATTTGAGGGCTACATCTCTTTAAGCAATGGTTATTAGTTAACTAAAACTAACAAAACAAAAAAAGTAGAACCAAAATTGAGAAAACATTTTTGTAAAATAGAATGAATAAAAACAGTAATTAAAACAGGAAAGCCATAACTGACTAAACCATTACTGTGGATTTATAAAAGTAATTAAAGCCTACTGAAATTAAAGACATACATATACATTTGGTGTTAAGATGATTAGTTCCCTTTATAAGCCTCACAAACTGTCTTTTTCACATTATATAGTTCAAGTTGACTTTAACCAAACAACATTTTAGGAATTTTGTGTTATGTTTGTTAAAATATGTATATAATTTAATAAAAACAAAACTTTGACCTGTTTGCCTTGCTAGCAAGTCAGTGTTTTGCTTTCAGTCCATCAAGTTAATGCTGTTTCCCCCAGATGTCGCCATTATTAGCCATCATAGTTAGCCTGCAAATTAAACATGGTGTAAATCATCTCACTCAATACTCAAACGTTGGATTCGTAGAAATTAAACTAATTAACAAATCAAGCAGTGATGTGGAAGATGAAAAAAAAAATAAACTGTAGGCTTTGTACACTGCAAAAACAATCCAGAAATAAGTAAAAAATGGCTTAAATTAAGTATATTTAGCCTTAATTTGAGCAGGTAAATAAGATGATTTGCCAATGGAATGAGTATTTTCACTCTTAAAATAAGATAGTTAGATAATATTTACTTGAAATAAGACGATAAAATAGTTTTTTCTTATTTTAAAAGGAAATTGTCTTGTTCCATTGGCAAAGTGTCTTACTTACCTCCTCAAATCAAGAAAAAACACACTTATTTTAAGAAAAAATAACTTATTGAGATTTATATTTTTTGCAGTGTAGTTTAATAAGTTACAGACATCTCTCATAAATTATGTCAGATCTCCATAACGTTTTAATCACCTACCCCCAACTCTAGATTAATGACTGAGGAATGCCTTGATCTTCTCAGAGAGGCAATTTCTGTGCCAGGAACACGATAAAAAGCATTTTCTTTAGTAGGTCTTTATTCCTCTGGGGACGGACAGTACAGACAAAGGGGAGAAGAGAGAAAGAGAGATCGAGAGCCGGAGAGAATTTGACAGTTTGAAGGAAAAACCCAAAAAAGGGATCCCAGGCATGAAGTCAGTGAGAAGGAGTGCTGAGCTCACAAGCCTTGCCTCTTACACTTCAGCAATGGCTCATATTATTAATATCATGGTGAGAGGCTATTCATCTTCCCTCAGACAGAACATGGAGGGGAAATGTAGACTGCGGAGGTGAAGATAGGAGTACAGAAAGAGCAGGAGGGGAGGTATGGTGCTGTGGTACAGCATATGACGGCACAGATGGGGCACACTGACAATAGGTACTTAAAAAACGACTGTTCTATTTTCTTTAGTCAGTGGATGGACATTTACTTGCAGTTACAGCTGTGCTGCTCAGCCAGTGGTAGAGCAGCGTGCAGTCCATGCTTCACTGGTTCAATTTCTGATATGAGATGACATAAAGGAAGAAAAAAAAATATAAGGAGAGAAGCATAAGGGAAAAAAAACATTATTTACTGGATTAGACACAGGACACAGGACTTACTTTTTGAGGGGGAAAAAATATTTCATAGGTTTAAAAACTCCTAATTTCAAAGAATTTGAATTTAATTTCTTAAACTTTCTATAAAATGTTTTGATTTTATGCTGTGCTGTCAGCTAAGAGGAATCCTTTGACTCTTCCAGCCTCCTGCTGAGAAATCACTCATCCACACCACAGCCTTCAAATCTGTGAACACAACAGCTTCAACGACGGATTTTGGCAACATCATTGGTCCCACGAAGAAAGCAAGCACTCCAAATGTTGGACACAAACAAGACCCCTTAGGTGTTTGTCTGCATACTGGTAAATAAATGCCCTAAATTTAAATGAAATCATAACTGAGATGTAATTTCTGCCTTTCAGGAACGCTCTCAGACTCTGGGCGTAACTCAATGTCTAGCCTTCCAACACACAGCACCAGTGGCAGTCTAAGAGCCTCAACAGGCCTTGTCAGCCAGAATGATGGTAGCACAGCTCTTATAAACAGCCTCAGCAAAGGACAACAACCCAGTTTCCCTCTATGGGTCAACGGAAATAACACAAACCTCGACTGCACTTACAGGGCTTGTTTAAACAGCAGTGTGTCGGCTTCTAAGGCTAATGAGGGTGCTGGTTCCCCTCTGTCTGCGGACGAACTAAGAATTCCTTCTGAAATGGCAGGGGGGATCCGGTCCCCCATAACCACAGATGAGTTTCAGATTGAGCATCTAGAACAGAGACTTCTGGAGAGGGAAACCGAACTTCAAGAGCTGCAGGTACTGAACATAGTGAGGAAAACACACACCATGATCAAAATATCTGTATGCTGTTAATTTCATGTTTCTTAACTTTACAACAGGTGAGTTTAGAGGAGAAGGAGGCTGAGACATGCGTTTTGTTTGAGGAGAGACAAAGGTTCTGTGCAGAGGAGATTGATGGACTGAAGGATCGATGTAAGGCACAGCTTCGGGAAGTCTCCCACGTTAATGCAAAAACCCATCAGGCTCTTCAGCAGCAAGTTTGCTACCTCCAGGTCAACTCCTACCTCTATCCATGCAGATCTCTCACAGTAGTTCATCTATATTCTTGTTTTTTGCTTTGATTTAATACTTTTGCATTTATTCATATAGAAACCAAAGCATTAAATGGTGTATATATTGCAGGAAAATGTTAAATGAAAATTTGTTTTTTCTGCAGATAGAGAATGGGAAGCTTCAAGAAGATGTCTCAAAGCTGACTCGAGAGAAAGACCTCGCTGAACTCAGACTGAGGTCATATGAGAAAGAGAGCACTCAGCTTGTGCCAACACTTGAGGAAATACAGTGGGAGGTCAGTAGCATATCAACTATATCAGGCCTGAGCTGGATACCAGAACGCAGATACTGTATATAAAGGTTTGAAAAAGAAAAAATGAAGAGAAGAATTGGGAGGATTACTAATTTTGAGGATCAGAGTTTTGCCCACTAGAAAAGAAATTAGGCGGAGGTGGATTATTCAGGAGATGGACACAAACCATCACTCGTATTTTATGAAAGCTATTTTGAAACTACAGTTGGCAAGTTAGCAAGTCTGCTACGGTCTAGTGGTGCAATTTCTCTTAGGTCCTTCAACATGTATTTGTGTGGAAATATATATATATACATATATATACATATATATATATATATATATATATATATATATATATATATATATATATATATATATATATATATATATATATATATATATATATATATATATATATATATATATATATATATGTTTTAGTTTAACGAGAATGTTTAAATATTCTGCATTATCTTTATCTCAATGTTCAAATTACACTTAAAATTGTTTTGATCATTATTATTTCTGATTTAATTTAGGTGTGTCAGAAAACAGGAGAAATATCTTTACTGAAGCAGCAACTGCGGGACTGCCAAGCAGACGTGAGCCACAAGCTGAATGAGATAGTCAGTCTCAGAGCATCACTAAAGGAAAATTCAGCCAGAGTGGAGAGGCTTGAGCAACAGAACAAGGACTACGAAGAGAAACTGTACTCATGCACCAGAGAGGCTGAGGTTGGTATTGTTGTTTCCTTGTAAACACAAATGTCCAGAAGAGACTGCCTACATTTTTTTATAACTTCAAGGAAAGATGTCCACTGTTCTATTCCTACGACGGAGTATTAGGGCCACACATGAAGAGAAAAAATATTTTTGCCATGACGAGATTAAACTCGACATGTCGACTTTAAACTCGCCCTGTCGACTTTAAACTCGCCATTTCGAGAATAAAGTTGAAATGACTGACATGTTCTCAAATTCAGAACTGCGAGCCTGGGTAAGCATAGGGAAAGACGTTACGTTATTATTGGTAGGCCACCGCTTCCTGTGATGATTATACAGTTGCAGCACGTCAAAGACTACCTTCACTCATAAAAAGCAGACTGCAGCTGTGGAGCGCGGTTGCTCTTTTCTCCAAACTTTGGAATGTCGAGATTGAAGTCGCCACGATATATCAACTTTATTCTCGAAATGGCGAGTTTAAAGTCGACAGGGCGAGTTTAAAGTCGACACGTAGAGATTAAACTCAACATGACATTTCAACTTTATTCTCGAAATGTTGAGTTTAATGTCGACATGTCGACTTTAAAGTTGACATGTCGAGTTTAATCTCGTCATGGCAAAAATATTTTTTCTCTTCATGTGTGGCCCTAATACTCCGTCGTATATTCCTGATGCCTGACAAAGAAAAAAAAAAATACAAGGATCTTCATCTTACAAACACAAACACATTTTTCACAGCTAAACATTTTAGTGCATTCACTCATGAAACAACTTAAAGATAAAAAAAAAAATCTGGTTATTTTTTTCCCTCCCTTTTGCTCAGGTGTGCCACAATGAACTTCAGCGCAAAAAGATTGAGGCTGATTTTCTTAGAGTCAATGTCGGCAAACTGGAGCAAGACATTCAGCAAGTCAAACAGGATCTTCTCACAGCTGGAGAGCAGAAGCTGCAGAAAGGTTTAGAAATTGAGAGACCAGATCAGGAGTTGGACATCCCTGACCAGGTCCAAGAGACAGAGAGCCAAAAGCACATTTTCACTGTATCGCTCCAAAGGGAAGTGGACAGACTGAAGGAGGAGCTCAGGGAGGAGAAGAATGCTCAGGAGAGGCTGGTCAGCAGCTTTGAGCAGGAAAGGCAAACATGGAACAAGGAGAAGGACAGGGTGATCAGATACCAGAAGCAGCTCCAGATCAATTACCTACAAATGCACAAGAGGAACCAAGACCTGGAGAGGATCCTGAAGGAGCTGACAGCTGAGCTCGAGAGCCGAACACAGCCAAGCCTCGACCTCAGATACAGCGCAGGGTTACAAACTTATGAGGACGTCATTGCCACAGAGATTTGATCAGAGCCGTCACTTGTTTCTATTTTAAAAACGCCATTGCAGTTCTATGTTTTGTCAATTACTCACTTAAAGCACTGATTCTTTTTTTTAAGCTTAGTTTATTTATTTAAAACTGTGATATAATAGAATAATCAATACTATTAAAATTGTTATTGATGTTGATATTGTTTTTACTTGTTTAAGAGTAAAAGATAGATTTTCTATGGCATAATAGGTTTATTTTTTATTATTGTCTATAACAGGAACAAGTTTTGATTTTGTCTGAAATTAGAAAAATGTTTTTTGTAAGGTTGATGTCGTATAGAACCAGGGTTTCCTTATAATCTCTTTTACATTTGTCTTTCCAGCATGACAACAAGACAACAACATATAGTGTTATGAACACTGGGGAACTCTAACCACTGTTGTCATGCCACTGTATGCTTCCACAGTGTTTACTCTTACTGTTATTAAAGCAAAGAGTTTGAACAATTCAAATTTCAAACAGCAAAATCTTGTTTCAAATGTTTTCCTAAAAATGCAAAGCTTTTATACAGTCTTAGTGTATTATTCTCACTCTTTAGATCTCCTCAAATGTAACCTTTATTCCAGCATTTTCAGTCTTTAGTCAATGGAAATGTTGATCTTTATGAAAGTTTTATTGCATGTGAATATAGACAATTTCTCCAAATATCCTATTTATTTATTTGAATATTTACAGCACTAGTTCCTCGTTTTTTTGTCAGTAGGCTGACAGGAAAGTGGGTATGAGAGAGGGGGAGAGACATGCGGCAAAGGACCAGGGGCGGAGCTAAAAAGGGGGGCCAGGGGTGGCCATGGCCACCCTTAGCCAATCATTGGCCACCCCTGTGGCCACCCTACTATTTGTTTCCCTGAAATACAGATGGTGGCAGCAGTAACACTCTGAAGGGGAATGTTCAAACTTATTAAACATTTAAATTTTTCAGATATTAACAACTACTTGACAACAGAAACACTGTGGTTAATTATGCACATCAAAATACAAACATTAAAGATGATAGTTACAGATATTTTCAGAACTAAATTTTGAATTATTTGGGGTAAAGATAAAATGATGTGCCTCTGCAAGTCTTCAGTGAAATCATAGATAAATAACTACTTTAATAATAACTTAAAAATAAATTTAATGTGGATGTTAGTAGATTTAAATATCATTTATTGGCATAATGATTATTGATAAAAGTAATTACAATGAAAAATATGTTCACCCCAGAACTTAAACCTGAAAGAATTTTGTCCACTATACCTTTTATTTACACAGCATACATGTTTAAATATATCCATCCATTTGTTAGCAAAGGCTGCTGGAAAGTATCGTTTGTCTTTATTTAGAAAATATGGATGTTGTGCTTGTTCCTGTTGGAACAGTGTAGATTGACCCTGAGGTTCTGGTGCCTTTCAGCCACCCCTCGACGTACATTGGTTAGCCACCCCATTAGCATTTTCTGGCTATGCCTCTGCAAATGACCACTGGTTAGATTCAAACCCGGGTCGTCTGCGTCGAGGACTAAGACCTCCGTACATGGGTCGTATGCGCTAACCACTGCGCCACCTGCACCCCCCAAATATCTACTTACACCATTTAGAAACACAATAAAACTTTTTTTCCTCTGACAGTAACTTGACCAGATTTCTGTGATTTTGTAAGCATTATTAGAACAATTTTGTAACAGTAGGACTTGTAAGAGAGAATGTTGAGATGTTAGACAGGCTGTCCATAAAAAATCACCCTTTGCTGCTGACCTCCAGGTGATGGGCGTTCTGTCTCATCAAGCAGACCTCTATGGGACTGGTGTCATTTTTAGGAAACTGTGAGAAAGCCAGGTGAAAACTTGTACTCCCAAATGAGAGGTTTACGTCAAAATCCAGAGATTTCTATGTTGACCTTGTTGCTAATTGAGATTGGAACAAATTAGCACAAAATCAACAGTGATTTTTGATCTATGTGCTGTTATCTTAGCGGCGTTGTTTTGTTTAAACAAGAAGAAGCTGGACTGATGATGTGTTGTGATGTGGGGCTCATCCTTTGTTTTAAGGTAGACTATATAATCCTCCTCACCAGGAGGAGTAAATTTAGCTCTTTCATGGATCTAGTAAAGATGCTTAGATGGCGGTTTCTTAGTGACGTGCCTTTGACGAGGCCCATGGGGAAATCACCTTCCTGGTGGGATTTATTCTCAGTCATTTGGGGAATGCCACAATATCACTTAAAATGAGCTTAAAGAAAGAGGAATGCTGAGATATTCAAACCCCTTGAAGTTTTCCAAAGTTTTTCCTTGCATTTTATAAGGACTTTACGTAATAAATAAACACAAATTAATATATAATTAAGGAATGGTAATGGTGCATGGTATTTCAACATTTTCCAATTACAAATCTTTGGGTTTTCTGTCTGTTACAGGATAACTTGAAAAGTTATCAATGGATTTTAATAAAAAAATTTTACCAAAGGTGCACCACAGTCCAAGGAGCAATCTATTTAATTTTGGTGATGATCCCAATCGCCATCTGGAACCAGGTTTATTTTATTTTTTTGAAACACTCTGTGAGTACAGTCATTAACTTAAAGGTATAGTGGAGGATTTTCACGAATTTTTTAAAAGACCCGCCATCAACACTTTTAAAATAAATGCAGATGCACAACCCTGTACCCGCTCCCAAGAGGGAACCCCTTTTAAACACCTGCATGAGCGTGCACAAGCCCATTTCATCTCGTGCATGCTCTGTTTAAAAGTTGCTATTTGCATTGCTCTTACAACCTTACATTTCAAAAGAAGATTTGTAATTTTTCCACTATGTCAGACTCATCAACAGTAAGTGAAAATGGGGACGAGCACGTATAATGGCCTTACATAAACATATCACCAGAATGACTGACAATTAGGAGGACAACTTATTTTGATGATCCACCTGGAAAAAGAACATCCTCCACTATACCTTTAAGGTGGAAGTCAAAATATGTCAGGGGAAATTAGCTACTTGGCAGAAGTCTGTGCTCTCTGAGTGCTTTTCTAATTCCTAAATTTTATCCCACCTATTACTTCAAAGGTGACATCGTCAGGAAATAGAACCCATTGTTTGTAATCTGTGAGTAATTTGAAGGTATTGATTGGAGCATTTATCAGCACAATAGTCAAAATTGCCATGCACATGGTAACTGGAGGATTCACAGTGATCGACAGAAAGTTACGGAGAATCTGTCTACATGAAAAATAATAGTTATGCACTGTTTTTTTGGTCTAATAGAATCCGTTTAAACTAATACAAGATCTATTGTTTTAACATGAAAACACTGGAAAATGTTTAAAGGAGTCTGAATAGTTTTTTCATGCACTGCAAGTCTGCAGTACAAATCAATTAAATGCAAAGAACCAAAATATTTATAACCAATTTACTGCCTTTTTTATGCACATGCTTATGTGGATTATAGTTTTAAAGGAAAACAATCTTTCACTAAGCTATCAAGGTTTATATCAAGAATGAATAAAATGTTCCCTCTCCATTCACTTAACACTCAGGGAGAACACTGAGAGATGAATAGTAATCTGTTAAAAAAAAAAAAAAAGGATAGTTTAGATTGCCTTGCTACCCACCAGAGTCTTACATTACCTCTGCAAGTCCTGGGAGATTAAGAGTCAGACAAATCTATTGAAACTGAGGTGCTGTGACCACGGGCTGAGAAACTCGAGTGACTGATAAGACCTTCACATCACTTTATTATAAGCTTCTGTCAAGGCATATGTGGAGGCAAACCCTAAAGCAATCCCCAACTCCAGGGTAAGACAGCTAAAAGCAAAAAAATACATTTCATTTTAATGAAAACAAAGGAGCTGCACAGGCAGTAGTTCCAGAAACATAAAAGCAGAAATGTGAAGACAAGCATTGAAAAACAGAACCACATTAGGTGAGCAAAAAAGAAAGACTAAAAAATAATTTAACAAAGAAAAAAGGACCAAGTGGTACTGATGAAGAAAATAAGGGCAAATCAATGTGATGTGCATATATATATATAATTTCTTTTATGTTTATTAAGGAAATTATATATAATGAAGGTAAATGTCACAGTAAAAAACATAAAATATGTAAAGTCTAATTTTAGAAATAAATGGAGATTAACAAAAAAAAAAACATTTGTTTGTAGACATTAGCAACATCCATTGCTTAAGCTTGATTTGACCTTTTGTACCAGACAAACTCTCTGCAACTCTTTGTTTCTGGAGATCTTCTCTATGCTCCCTGATCTCTTTCATTTGGATTCCAGTCAGCATGACTGAGACATCCTAGCGGCTTTATTTTCTTTCACGGAAATCAACACTTTCCTTGGCTGTGTGTTTGGGATCACTGTCAGCCAGAGAAATCCCTCCTTTCATCGTCTTATCAAGAATGTTGCTTTAAATTTTTCCATATTTTTTTTTTCTTTTGTTGTTATATAATGTCTGCCAGTATGGTGCATTGATGCACCCACCTCTAACCTTTGCTGATGGTTTGGTGTTTTTGGGGTTTGGAGGCCTAAATATTCCAAATATGCTGTCTGCAACCGCATCTCAAGGAGTCGTCCGTGTCCCAATGGTTGAGAGTCACCAAATAGTGCCTCTAGACCTAGACCATTTCTATATAGGAAATTGTTTTATGGTTTAAAAAAAATGCTACTTTTCAAGCAAATGCTAAAAGTCATCTTACTCAAACCTCTCTCTGACAAGACTCTTTGTCCCTCATTACATTCTCTATTGCTCTTGGAACTTAAGTAAGAATATTGTTTCCCTCGCTGTCTAATTATGTAGTAAATGCGTTTTGGCAGCGTTTCCTTCCTCACACAACAACTCGCTGCGTCTCTGCTTCTGTCATAAATGAGCTGATGGGACCAAATCAACGCCGAAATCAAATTAAGGCCCATTGTTGGTGCTTGTGACAAGAAGGGAGGGGGGGCGAACGACTGAATGAGGTTGGGTGGGGGGGTATACACTGAAGAGATAACACAAATTGGTTTGGCATGAAAGAAAATAGGAGTCGTGAGGATGCGGATATTTTCCCTCAAAGTAGCCAACAGAATTTCCACGGACCCATTTGCTGCACGCTGATCCTTACTTGAATTTTTGCACTTTTCTTTGTTTCATGTTTCAAAACCCAAATTAGAAGCAGTTCAGCTGAGGTGTTTTTTTTTTCTTCATAAGGTCACGATCAGCATCACTTTTCACAGAAATTCTGCCTAGCAGATGTCCCTGGATGATTGGGACAGGCAGCCGTCAGAGGACACTCGGTGGTAACTTGGCCCTGCCTGCCCTGCTGTGACATGATAATGATGCTCTCATATCCTGCTGTGATTCTCCTGATCGGCTGACAGTTAAGCACAAAAAAGGTCTGAATTCATTAGTTACAGAGTGGTGCTGCTGCAGACCTGCTTCGCATTTAAATTAAAGATCTCTGTTGGGTTTATTTTTTTGTTTGTTTCTTTTTTCATTTCACTGACAGCAAACATAAAACATTCATAATCTTAAACATCAAACAAATAATGGACCAAGGACAAGTTTGATCTATTTCACACCAAACAGTCACTTTTAGGATTATAGTAAATACTCTATACTTAAATAATGAATGAGTCAATAACACTGTATCAGTTTCTACCTTGCCCTCATTACTCACTGCACACTCAGATACTCAAATGTGCTATAACCCTGCCGTATCCCTGAGCAATTAGTTGCTCCAAAATATCAGGGGGCTAGTTATTCAGGCACGTATTTCATATTTTATTAGTTTACACAGAGGCTTGTATGCAGACCGGGCTTTAGCAAACACAGGGTTTGCAAATTTCCCAAGCTCCTCTGCAGTCAGCAAGTAATTGGAGGATGAGTCCCAAAGGGGCCTCGCATGCCGCCGAAGCCTTTGGCTCCTGACGTGTTGAAACGGCAATGGGGTTTGATACTGAGGAGAGAGAGGTGTTTCTGTGCAATAATGTGTGTTTGTGTGTGTGTGTGTGTGTGTGTGTGTGTGTGAGGGATGTAGGAGCAAGACTTAGGTACATTAGTTGGCATAAATAAAGCTTCAGCTTCTATGAAGTCATTTGGTTTCCCAAGCCCACCACCAGCAGCATATCCAATGATTCCTGCGGTCCATAGGGAGGATAAACCTTACGTTGGAGGATATCGCTCCTGGCTGGTGGGCAGGCAGGTTGGTGGGGGGGGGGGGACAGTGCTAAAGCAAATTCAAAGCCCTGCTGCTGAAAATAAGTTAATTAGCTCTATCTCTCACTCAGAGAGAAAGACATTCTTTTGTAAGGAAGTCTGCCATTCAACACAATCCAAACCTTTTAATCTAAAGCTTTGCCAACTATCAGCTTGTGAAATTATCAGGGACACTGGAATGCAGGACAGAATGCTTTACAAGTGAGTCCATAATGTTACATAACAAGAAAATGTAAAAAAGTTTTGAAATAGAGACCAAACTAAACTAATTTCATCACATTAAATTATTTGTCGAAAGATGCAATAAGATTAGGGTGATTACTATTCACATTTAAATGTATGCACAATGGTGTTACACATATACATTTATTATATACATGTTAACTTAAAGGGTTATAAAAATAACAGATTTTTAATTTTTTACACTGACTCTGTGAACTGCTATAAAGTGGTCATATCCTTCAGTGATGATAAAGCGAAGGTGGGTTGCACTTCCATTTAGCTAAAAGAAGAAGAAAAAAAAAACGCACAGATGAATAAGCTCCGGGATTCATAATTTAACACAATTAGAGGCTTTTGAAAAGACTATTCTCTGAACTACTTACTGAAATAATATTGGACTGAAGATGTCCCTCTGTGCGCTCCAACTCTGCAAAGAAAATAAGAAACTAACTTTGTATTTAATTACTTGAATATAAAAAGACAGTAAGTAGGATTAATATTACCTTACCTTTCTCTACGACAGGCTCAAACTGAGCAGCACTTGGTGACGTATTCTTTTCTATCTTTAGATGCTTGACTGTGACAGAACAAATTAAAGAAAAATGATTAAATAAAGATGGAGAATGATGTGAGTTAAATTGATATATTATGCATTTGCATTTTGTCAACTCAACTGAGCTAGTAAACAATGCATACAAGATATATATATATATATATATATATATATATATATATATATATGTGTATATATATATATATATATATATATATTTTTTTTTTTTTTTTTTTTTTTTTTCATTAATATATATATATATATTTTCATTAATTCTATGTACTGCAGACATACAATAACAAATACACAATATTGTGTTGGGGGGAAAAAAACTCATTAATGGGTATAAAAAGTCCAGTATCTTTAATGAGGGCACCTAAAAGCTGCCCTCATTACAGATATTCCAACCTGGCCGTGGTATGGAAGAACTAAAGAGTCACTGAAAAGGAAAAACAGTACTGTTAAATTTGACGTTTAAACCATAAAATTAGAAATCAAATTTCAAAACTTTTTATAATCATTCATTTTGACTTGAATTATTAATAATGAAATGTAAATCGGATTTATTAATCTATGAAATTGTGTAATTTGTACTTAATAATATATTTTCAAATCCTATTTCTAATTGGAGATTTTAAAAACACTATTTGTCAATCTGATCATAAATACCTTTTCTAATTTCACATAAAAAAAAATGAATTCCTTATTCCATTTTCCTTCTCACCTAAGATTTTAAAATCCTTTAGAACTCGCATTTTCTTTTTATTTTACCCTCTCTGTTTACCTTTTCTGTGACCCTTATGGTCCCTGAGCACAATGTTCAAGCAGTACCAGTGGCTCCTCAGAGTAACCAGCTCCCACAAAATTAAACATGTTTTAAGCTCCCAACTATGTAATCCCTAAATGTGTCGGCTATTTTCCTTGATCACTAAGTGTACAAACGGCAATTCCTGTTTTTTTTCACTAATATTCTCCAAAAAACCTCTGAGGCCTCCACAAAAAACCCAATTTATAATGAGATTACATTGCAAACAGCAATTATGCGGCCTCTGAAGGTAACTACTTGCAAATAATTATAGTAGAGGGGTTGATAACAAACCATATTTGTACAGAAACCATATATCGTTGGTAGCTACTTCGCAGTTATGCATCACTTTGTACAGGTCTATCATTAAAAAAAAAAAATCCCTGAAATATAAAATAATGTTTGGAGAGTCACCATCTTGGCAGGTGCCTCTGTCACAATTTGTGTGCCTCACTGCAAAAAAACTGTGGAGCAAGTCCAAGGGGTTAGAATACTTTTAAAATTCACTTTAAATACATGCTTTCAGTTGAAAACAGGCCACACTAAATGTTAAAAGAGGGTAAAACATGTTTTTGGATAAGGTGATAAGCCTATATATAACCATACCCAATGGGCCCCCTACTCAATTAGATTCGGACTGCTCTTTGCAGATGTAGTGGTGTTTGTTCCTCCAAAACAAAATCCTTAAATTGATGCCTGAACCTCATCTATACCCCAACAGATACCAGATTTCAACATGAAGGTGACCTTTTTAAACAGGACACCAGTAGGAAAGCAGACAGTGGTATTTTCAATTACTATGTTAACTGTATATAGTTCATTAGACGGTTGGTAACAAATACAATCATGTAACATGTCACAAACCGCAATAACGATCTTAAAAGAACGATGTATTTGAGTATTTTATTTTTTTACACTACGCCTTGGGATTATGGGTAATCCAGAGCAGACGTACTTCATATGGGGCCCACCCAGATAATGTTGCTCAGGGGCCTATTGTTGTGTCGTTACGCCATTGACCATACCGTTGTAGCTATCCACTGTCACTGCAGAGATGTTTGTTGTTTCAGCAAAACGAAAGATGAACTCCTGAGGGAACATCCCAGTGGTCATCCAAAAGGTTTTAATGTTTCTGGACGAAAAGACGAAACGCAGCCACAGTAAAGAACACACCGACTTAAGAAATATATATTAGCTGCTTAAATGTGCACATTAAAAGCACTGATAAGACATATTTATAGCTCTCACCCGTCAGTGATGTTTCCTGGAGGGTGATTCTCGTCGCTGGATGAAGCTAAAACAATTTGTGCACCTGGAGAATCAATCATGGCGATGATCTAAACAATCGCAGTTCCACTAGTGTTTTCCTTTTTGATTTAAGACACAGCTCAAGCTTTCACCGTTGCCACGCCAACCACCCCGTCGCTCTTTATACACGCAATCTGCGTCATTCTGGACGTAACAGTTTCCGACGCACGTTGCTAAATTAGCATGAGCTAACATCTTCAAACCAGCGTCTGGACATGGCGAATGGGTGCAATGATGTGTTATTTAGCCGAGGAACTGGGCAGGTCAGCTTAAACATTTTAAAACTTAACATTATAGCACGAATTAATTATTTCCACGAGGCTGTAAATTTGGAACTTTAGACGACGAGATATAAAACTAACGTTTAGTTTAGCTTAACAAAGAGGAAAGAAAAACTGAGTGTAATGAATTGTAAACCAGAAAAACTCAATTCTGATAAGTCTGAAGTTAATTTTAATGTATTTCTGCATATAATTACGCTTATAACGTTTAGTTAGGCAGTAGAGATTACTAATGCACTATTTTCAGGTGTGAGAATTGACACCAGAAGATGAAATAACATAATAATCTTGAAATCCCGGAGAGGATAAAATGTCTTTAGCTTCATTTATGCGTAAGTTTTAATTGTATTGTTCTTTTTCAGAGTGATGATTCAGACATCTGGGATGACACTGCACTTATAAAAGCTTATGATAAAGCAGTGGCATCTTTTAAGGTAAAATAACTGCATATTTGGTTGAACTTCAATGCTAACATAATATAATAATAAAAAAATGTAAACAGACTGTTGTTACATTGCTTGTGTCCTCTCCCCTTACTGTGATCTAGACTGCTCTTAAAGGTGATGATGAGCCACAGGTTTCTAAGAAAAACCAACCAGGAAAGAAACGCAAGAACAACAAAAAGAACCAGGGCAGAAAACGTACTAATGCACCGCCTGATAAAGAGGTAAAGACTGGGTAGATGGCTAAATGAAGTGGTACCATGTATATGTGTGTGTTAGTGCACTCCCAGAAGGGAGTAATTTGGAATAACATGGGCAAATGGCAACCAAAAGGAAGCCACAAGAAAAGCAACAACAGCCGAATATCTGCAGCAAGTAAAGCTAGTCCTGAGAGGTCAGCTTAATGTCAAAAACAAGGTCCAGACAATCAACAGCTATGCCAGTAATCAGAAACCCTGGTAGGGTAATAAGTTGACCTAAGGAGGATATTCAGCCCACTGTTGTTGAACATGGAAGCTAATGATATATTATGTGTTTATTTCATACATGGGATGTGGGGAAGAAAACACAATTGCCAAATATCCCCATATTTTTATTGACATCTAATTATTTTTGAACATATATTGTATTTATTTTAGATTGGTATATCTTAGGTTGTTACAAAGTATTTTAGTATTTTTATCTTTAAAAAACCCACCAAAGCACAAAATACTGTTTTAAAAAAAACTTGAAAGTCACACTAGCAGTGAAATTGCTTTTATAAATGAATAAAATGTATTTCATACAGTATTCCCAGTGTAGAAGGTGTGTTGGTGTACAGAGGTTTTACAGAGCTATACAGTTGTAAAAACCGCAACATATTGCCTCTGTTACTATATCAGGATAAATCGTAATATGACAGATTTGGAGGTTTAACTGAGCTACTTGAATTTTGAATAACATTTGTTGACAGAAAGTTAGTCGCTGGAAAAAATAGGTAAAATTTTCTGTATATAGGGGATATAACCCAGGCGCATAAGGGTAGCAGAACGGAAAACGTACGTGCTACATGTAGGTTACACGTCTGGCAGTTTTCCATTTTAAACAGCTAATGATTTACATTGAAGGGGTAATAAGTGCATTGATAGGCAACGCTATTCCTAATTTAGGATGAGAGTCTAATTTCAGAAGCTTATACGCTCCAGTTTGAGCCAGGGAGAAAACAGATGGTCATATATTACTTATAAGTTTATATCTTTCACACATAGTACTATTTAATTTACTTACCCATGTCACAAAAGCTCATCTTTGCTCCAAGCCCTGTTGCTGAACCCATTGATGTGGAGCGTTTTCTTCAGCAGCTTTTACAAATTTCAGTTTTCAAACATACGTGGCTATGACACTTTGCTGCTCTTATGTATGCGTCCGGTATATGTTTGTATGCTTTAGTCTATTGTACACAAGGCATAAAAATAAGTAAGCATATAGATCTACGTTACATTAATTCCTTTCCTAATAAAGACATGTTTTTAAAATTGATATAAGGCAAAAAGTTACTACAGTTCTACACTGCAAATGTAAAATACACTGTTAGAAATTCAAGTTTAGCCTTTTGTCAAAGTTGTGATAAGTTTTTATTTACAACTACTGCCATGCTTTGTTTTTAATTGCACTGTCTGTTTGCAGTGGCAGGTTGGGGACTCTTGCAGTGCTTATTGGTCAGAGGACGGCCAGCTCTATGCAGCCACCATCTCATCCATAAACCACCAGAGAGGAACCTGTATAGTTGTTTTTACTGGTTATGGCAATGAGGAGGAGCAGAATCTGGACGACCTGCTGTCAGAGATTTCAGAAGCTGATGAGACGGCAAAACCTCAGGTAAACTGCTGTAAATGTTGTATGTGTAGATTTATTATTCTGAATCAGTTCATTTAATTGATAATTATGTTTTATAACATCTTTGATTGTCTTTTTATCTACACTCCCTCATAGTGTATGAAAAAACATTTAATTTTGTGAAATTTGTTGGTAATAATAATTGTAATACATAAAGGTTCATTTTATGGCACCCAAGGTCAGAAAACTTAAAGAAAAAAACTGAGATTATAGATGCATTTAGTTCAATCAAAGTCAAAAGGCTTGTCTGCGCCGACTTGTTTATAAACAGGTTTTGAAAAGAGAGAGACTTGTAGTGTTTCTGGTGTCAGGAGGGAGGGCCTCCCAGAGACGAGGAGCAGATCGGCTCAAGGCCCCGAGTCCCACAGTTGTTGGACGTTGAAATTTAATGATGTGATAAATTGATTTTTCTCCCTTTTTTTCCCGCCTCCTATTTTGACAGTACATTTATCATTTTGACCAGTGCTATTGTTGAGTTTATTTTGACCCAATAACACCAACAATATTTCCTGAGATGATTTTCATTGACTCATATCTTCCAGCTTTTAAAAATGTGCACAGCTATTTTTACAAATACATCATCAGTCTTTTTTTATTTGACATCATGTGATTAATAGAATAACTGGCAGCTTACTGTTGGCCAAACATGAAAAAAATGGCTACACTGTGGTTTATTATAACAAAGGATTAAGGGTATGAAGCACAGCTTTCTATTGATGCCCTGCAGGAAACTGTTTGTGTTTTGATATGTACCTTGATGAACTTTTATTCAGCTCCTTTTTATTTTATTTATTTAGAAAAAGAGTCATAACATCCATTGTTTATTTATAGGAAAAGGTGGAAGAATCCTCCACAGAAGAGAGTGATAGGTCCACCACACCTAACCAACACAAACAGCATCCACCCGGTAGAGCCCAGAGGTCCAAACCTCACAAACACCCACCCTCCATGTGGCCTCCAGGTTTCCCTGGGTTTCCCCCAGGACCTCCTCCTATGCATGGTTTTGGACAAGTAAGGACTAACACTCATTAAAGAACCGTTGTCTTTATTTTACTGTCAACAAAATCTATCTTATTCTAGATTGTTTCATTTTATCGGTTTATTTACTTTTAAATCAGAGAGAAAGCTTGCTCTTTGCTGAGTAAGTAAAACAAAAGCTAAACTCTAAATCATTTACAATAGGGGAAATGAAAAGGGATCATAAATAAAACACACTGTTGACATTTATTGTATTGCATTGGATTGCAGTAAATTTACTTAGCCCTTGATTGGATGTTTAGTATCGAACTCTTTCAGCTGCATGTGGTATATTAAGATTACAAGGACTGAACTACCTGTCTGCCCTTATTTTAGTTTAGATTATGTTAATTTAAATAGATGTTGAAGCATTTTTAAATGGCTGTACTCCCTTTAAATTTCACAACTGCATGTCTATGTATTTTTTTTCTAGAGGGAAAACAGACATGGACCTGCTGGTCATGGACCTGTACCTCCCTCCTGGCCTCCTATGATGCCTTTTGGTCCCCCTGTAAGGTTTAAGCTTAATTAAACAGTTTAGGTTTCACTAACACTTAACAATGCACTCGATAAACAATGTATATAGCAGCCCCAAGTAGCATTTTTGTCTAAATTAATCCTCTTCCAAGTCCTTGCAATGGTTTCTGCTTTTGAGACGATTGAGAGGTCTGTTTTCTCCCCCTACTGTCTCTAGCTGGAAAACCATACTTAAAACTTTCTGTCACCAATGTGTTGGGAGTCTCGCGGCTCTGTTCTCAGTCTTGTGGTAAAACGAACAGCTTTACGCCAGCCCATTATATGGCCATTGGCATCAATAGCCACATGCCCTTGGCTGCACTACTCGCAGACAATCAGAAAACAATTTTGGGTCTTGGACATTTATGAAACGATGGACCCAATAAAAAAGACAAAGAAAACCTTTGTCTGATGAGGGTAGAAGGACAAAACTTGAATTCGCAGGGACTTGTGCAATATTGAATTTGGGGAACATGTTTATTATGTGACAAGGCCTCGAAAAACAATAACAAAATGCAAAAATTACACCAATCTGGTAGTTTTCTAATGAACTTGTGTTACCGTATGTGCTAACCAAGTGATTGATTTTTAGCACGCCCCTATAAAACATGGAGATGGTAATTCATCTTATGAGAGCAATTTGAAAAGTTGTTTACATGAGGCTTAATGCTCCACTGACGTACAAAAATAGCAACTTGCAGTGACAAGGTTTGATGTTTGGTGCAGGGAGGGCAGTCAGTTTTTACATCAGTGCTATTTTCAATAGGTACTGTAGGGGGAGCTCCACTTGAAAATAAATTGGTGCTGTTTCAAGAATTAAACTTAGATTAGACTTAGACTTAGGCGACTTTTATTGTTATTTTGTATACACGGAGTGTTTATAAAATGAAATTGTTTTGTACAGCTTTCGGAACATTTCCATTCTATAAAGTACAGCAGGGATCCAATTTGAACAATATTTTGGTACCCCTTTTTTAACGAAAGAAAAAACTCACAGTAGTCAC